GATAAGCAATATGCACTGCTACACCAGGTAATCAATATACACTGCTACACCAGGTAAGTAATATACACTGCTACACCAGGTAATGAATATACACTGCTACACCAGGTAATCAATATACACTGCTACACCAGGTAATGAATATACACTGCTACACCAGGTAATGAATATACACTGCTACACCAGGTAGGTAATATACACTTCTACACCAGGTAATCAATATACACTGCTACACCAGGTAGATAATATACACTTCTACACCAGGTAATCAATATACACTGCTACACCAGGTAGATAATATACACTTCTACACCAGGTAATCAATATACACTGCTACACCAGGTAATCAATATACACTGCTACACCAGGTAATGAATATACACTGCTACACCAGGTAATGAATATACACTGCTACACCAGGTAGGTAATATACACTTCTACACCAGGTAATCAATATACACTGCTACACCAGGTAATCAATATACACTGCTACACCAGGTAATCAATATACACTGCTACACCAGGTAATCAATATACACTGCTACACCAGGTAATGAATATACACTGCTACACCAGGTAATCAATATACACTGCTCGCCTAGTTAGCAATATACACTGCTACACCAGGTAGGTAATATACACTGCTACACCAGGTAGGTAATATACACTGCTACACCAGGTAGGTAATATACACTGCTACACCAGGTAAACAATATACACTGCTACACCAGGTAATCAATATACACTGCTACACCAGGTAAGTAATATGCAATATATTCAATTTATGCATATGTGTGAGAGTCATTTATTTTTATAGAATCACTCTTCATTGTGCTTTTGCATATGTCGAACAAATGTATATTAAATTGAGAAACGGGTTGTGTATTTGCATGATCACTTTCTTAAACGGTTGTTACACGGAATTTGTTGTATGAATGTCATAAGATGTGTATGAAAACTCTATTAACAGTGACACATTCCCTATACAAAAATGAATATTACTTAGCTTTACTGACAATGCAGAACACAAAGATGTGTTTTCGTCCCGTTGCAGTAATCAAAATTTAGGACATTTGTGTAATCGAGTGCCTATAAAGTGCATTTCATACATTAATCTATATTTATAGTAATAATTATGTTATGTTTATTTCCTGTCAGCGTCTGCCACCACTACTCAAGGTAAGTGAGACATCATAAACGCTACGCTACATATATGTGTCGTTTTCTTGACATTTATAAAGGCAATGTGTTCTTGTTGAAGATGTTTAGATAATTCTTTCGAATATTGCATCTTTCATAATGTAATATTAAACAAAATGATTTGAGCATGCTCACAATTTCTCGGGTTTATTATTACTGAAATTATTATTATATAATCGTTTTATGAGAATAAAATTACACATTAAAATTACACATTACACATATGAGTGTGCTCGAGGAAAATCCAGTCAACTGGCGCTTTGCGACCCGTGTGCTTTTACACATTGTGTGCGTGAATGTGTCAAATCCGGTAAACTAGGGAATCATAAACGCGTCGATAATTCGGTCTTGGCATTACACGGAAATATACTTGCGTCGTTTTTCCTGGTCCTGATCGTCGTCGTAGTTGCCCGGCTTTGAACCATGTGTAATCGGACTAAGAAGGAACTTACCTGGGCAATCAAATATACAACCGTAAGTACCATACTCATTAGATTGTGTTACATGTCCCCATCCCTGTTACTTATTGTTAAATTCATTAATTTCGGTAATTTGTTGCTTCAATAATAATATTATATTTCTGCAGAAAAGACAGAATATTGTCTTGGGCCAACACAAACAAACTCATTAACACGGGGAAATGGCAGTTTTCAAACTTCATTAATTGTTATACAATATATAATAAATTCTCAATAAACCAGGTCAGGCTCCCATTCCTGAAGATTTGTTTCGGTCATTCGCGCCGATGTTTTTCCAGATTTTTGAGAATTTCTCTCTGTCTTTTTTTATATAAGCTTTTTAAAAATAAAATAAAACTACTGACAATAGCTTTATCGTAGATACAGTTACATACACAACATACACATGTGGCTTATACCAAAAGACTACGT